CATGTTTTCCGGTTAAAATATGTATGATTATTGGTTTTTAGAATTGGTATGATATCGTCTAATAATAATTAATATATCGTATTCACTAGTATAATATAGTATTACTATTGATACTAATGATGTTATAACGATCTTCGAAATCGCAAATACAAAATTTCATTAATACGATATATGTATATGCTATATATTATATTCGCGGAAACCACAAAGTAAATAGAAGTCTATTTTAAATATTTATCTAACAAAACTTCAGATTTTTAAAAAAATTTTTTTTGCGGGTCAAAAATATTTTTACTTCCCTTTTTTAAAACTTTTTACTCTCTTCAGTGGTTTTTTATTTATCGTACGCCGTCGAGCGCGCCACAAGATTAATCCGAGAGAGTTATCAAAATATCGTTAGCCGAGGCCGAGGCGGGTAAAACTAAAAGTGATTCACTGCCCACTTATTTCATTACGACCTGTAATGTCCGCATTGCCCGATCAATGTTTCATGCGGAAACTACTGGCGTGTGTTCTAACGTTTCGATTATTTATGAACTCCTCGTGTCTTCGTCGGGTATGGCTGGCTTACCCACAACTGTCTCTAGGTTGCTGAACTGCCGTCACTCTTTTTAATCTCTAAATTTCTCTCTCTCTCTCTCTCTCTCTCTCTCTCTCGCCGTCTTGTCGCTTGCCATATTTTCTCATAACGAAATATAGGGTCGTATTTTCATCAGAATTGATATTAGATATATTTTGGAATGTTACGGAGTAACGAGGAATATTGTTTGTCACAAAAATATGTCTATTATTGAATAACATATATAAAATAATGTTATTATATATCTCGAATGAGAACACAGTGAGAAGAATATTTTTGGAATGGAAGCAAAATAGATATTAATCGAAAAAAAAAATTTCTTTTTTTCTTAAGTTATGTAGAAATTATTCGTGTTTAATTTGCAACAAGAAGCTTCTTTTCATAGATTTATAAATTGTTATATGCTTGTTAACAATGTTTTTTACATATTACACATCTTTTTAATTCCTAATTTTATAAAAGCAAACTCTAAAAAAAATTACCGTGCAAAATAATCTATTTTTGCAATGTATTAAAAAATTTATAATAAACTTTTTTATATATCATTTTAATAAAGTCTCACACAATGAGACAGAAATTATTCGGAATTAATTATCAAAAAGAATGACAGAAAGCAACAAGTTTAAGAACAAGTTTGATAAAACAATTTGCTATTCTTAAGTATGTTGCATGTGTCAAAATACGAGTGAAATAACCGTATTTTCATGCGGAAATATTAATGTATGTGGTAACTTCCCGCAGTGAGACCTGCACTCAATGACGACGTTTTTCACGCGGACGTGTTGCTTAATCGAATCATTAGCAGGACGATAAATCACGGCTAAGGGGCAATGGACCCTCTTTTAACGTAACACTTGAACAATAGTCACTCGATCTTCGCCCGTGCACATACGTGGGTGTACGTATATGTATAAGATTGTAAGAAGGGGAGGGAGGGAATCGAAGTTACTAGAGAGTTGGAAAGGTCCTAAAGTATCTCTCACATTTTATTATTTCCTTTATCTCTATGCATTTGTTTTACATGTTAAGCTGAATTAATTGAGATTAATTAATATATCACGTCGAATTTATTTATTTAGGATCAATTAGTCAGTCACATATTATCGCATAGTTTACGCTCTACTAATATGCGACTATTATTATTATTTAGAAGAAATTACTTTTTTTTAGTTTCTTTCTTTTTTTAAATTTTTGTACTTGCAATCATTTAAAAGAAAATAAGGAGATTGTGCATTATTGCATTAATAAGACGTTTATATATATTGTGAACGAAGCTTAACGGAGCTATCGAGGATACGGATCGTTCTTATTAGCCACATAGTTAACACTTCCCGCTGTTGTTTAGCAAAGTTTCTTCCCCTTCGCGCGATTCTCTACGTCGTCGCGGTTAATAGAGTCATTTTTCGACGCGGCCGACCCCAGAGCGGGCGAGGATACGTCTTCTGGAACTAAAGTATTATGAGGATTAGCCAATTACAATTGAATTATCAGACCCTACGGTCCCTCCATGTAATTTATCCGAGACAAGACGGCGGGTGTGAGATTAAGTGGATAACATAACTGATAACAAGGTAGCCTAGCGCAGGTTCATGCGAAAGATCGAGCGCCAGGTAGCCTCAGGATTTAGGAGGGTGACTTGAAAAGCGAACCAGGAAATGAACGGAGCTTATTAATTTACTTAGGTCTTTCCAAAAATTGTTATTCGCGTTACACAACTGATATTATTTTCGAACAAACGATATCTATTAGAATATTAATCTTGTTTTGGCGCAAATAGATAGATATCAATACTGTCTCTCGCGAGAGAAACTTTTATTAATCTTTATATTATATTAATTATTTCGAAGAAGATATAAATTTATCGCGTATATATAATTTCTAAAACAAATATAATTCGGGTATATCTTTCTCGAAGCGCGAAAGCAAACTAAGCCGATTACATCGCGCGGCGTTTATCTTGAATAATTCAGCCGTATCAGATGCGCACAATTGTTTTGTCTATCGAGAGACACAGTTTTGTTCCCCGGGAAAACGCATTCCCAGAAAATCAATTCTTTTAATTCATTACGTTCAAAGTGCAGACGAATGCAAAATTAGATGTCGCCCGGACACATCATCAATATCATACATAAACCGCCAAGCGGTGTGTGCATAAAATCAATTAGCAATTAAAGCCCAGCCGTGTCTGAGCCAAGCGGTTAGTCGGCACCAAGAGCTTATCCGCGGGATTCGATCGATAAACGTCGGCCCCAAGCAGGGTCCGTCGCGTTCGATAAGATACGAATAGCATCGACATCAATACTAAGAGAGAAGCGTATCAATAGCGAATAAAAAAATAAATCTCGTCACGTGCGGCGCGGCGTGCGGTTCAATTACGTATCCGTCCGTATATGAGATTAATTAGCGATCGGCTAGCTTTCCTCCTCCCTCTCCCTCTCTCTCTCGCTCTCTCTCTTTCTCTCTCGTGCGCGGTTACACTCTCTAGATTCAAATGCAGAATCGCACTCGGTGCGCTCGGACCCGTCGGCTATCGGATATCGCAAATTGGGACAATTACGTTATTTCCGTCCGATAACCTACATCACGGAGTAGAGTCTGACGCATGAATAAGTAATATCCACCAGAAAATCTGACGTCTGACACGAAAACGGGGAGACTGTTCAAATTATCACTTGCATGGCGGAGTACCTACCGTCTAGAGTAAAGAACATTATATTCGCGCGCCGGGTTTTGGCTCTATAAGGATCATCAAATTCAGTTTCGTTCGGTAGCGCAGACGCGACACCGACCCCATCGCCGTCGCCGCCGCCGTCGCCGTCGCCGCCGCTGCCGCCGCCGCCGCCGCGAGTATCATCGATTTATAATAGCGCTGTTACAACGCCGCCCTCCCTTTACGGCGTTAATATTAACCTATTGTCGCTAATATTATTATATTAGCGTCTTTTTGCGCGCGCCGAAGCGCACCGCGACATCGATAACGTCGCGTTGCATTATCCCTTCGCATTTATCCCGATTGTCAAATCTGAATTATCGATTTTCATTTCCTCTATTCGATTGTCGTTGCGGTTCTATTGTACATTGTTATCGCGCGCGCATTGTTTTGATATTTATTATTATTACTGCATATATCCTAATATACGCGCGTCGCTCTCTTCTTTTGTCTTCGTTGTCTTTATCGGCGTTATTTTTATCGATTTATACGACGGATATTTCTCGTAAATCGTTATAAATGTATAGACGTACATCATTACACGGACGTACGTTGATTGTAGAAATAATAATTTTATTACAAGAACGTCCGTCGCGGGTGAAAAATGTGAACGGGCGGACAAGAAGCGCGCGTTTCAGACATTTGTCGCAGCTGCGGGGTTTGCATCTGTTGCATTCGCGGTTGGGCATAAGCGACACATAGCTGTTTTTATGGCACTCGACTATCCTGCATCGCCTCTCATCTCGTATATCTAAATAATCAATTTACTACTGGCCATAATCGTAACCACGAGTTAGCGAGTTTATGCGAGAGCCCGGCCACCATAACTACGTGGCTCCGTAAAGCATAAATATTATGGGGCATTTCGTATACAGCAACAGTCTCATAATCTGTCTCTCTGTTTCTCACGCCTTCTTTTTTTCACTTTCTTTCGGTCAGTCTTTTTTTTCTCATTACCTCTTCTTTTTTCCTCCAGAGAGAAAAGATCTAATCAATTGTTCACTAATAAAAAATTTTCTTCAAATCTTATAATAAGAATCGTTATATTCTATTCAAGAGTGAATTTTCTGTATACCTTATATCTGGTTGTGCTATACCTGTATTCAATAATGATGAAAACTATATACATATTATGATAAAATTTGATATATGTATATTCTGCTAATTGTAAGTATTGGTATAAAAACAATATTATTTAATTTTAGTAATATTTTTAGAAATATATATAATATTTTTTTTTAAACGGAGAAACTAATTATAATATAATGAATTAAAACATAGATATGTAAATATAGTAAATATTGAAAATTTTCCCATTTGTTAAATTCAAAATATTGCTATATATGATAAGAATACAGTGCAACAAAATTGTCATACAATTACCCGTCTAATTAGACAGGTGGCACGTGATATAATTACATTGTTTCGTCTGAGAACATCTCAAATAATTGAATTGTTCTTAAAATGATGTCATGGTGATATGTCTCCCGTTTCGTAAAGATAGAATTAATTTGTCCAAGTTCTTCACATCATCTAGATAATTTTATAAATAATGAAACAACTAGCACATATTGTGTGCGTGAATTTTATTGCGTATTATTATTAATAATATCAGTTTTTTGTCAATACGTGGGTCAAAATCGAATCAATTTCTAATTACGTGCATAAGAGAAAATAAAAAAAAAAAATAAAAAAAGCGTCTGTACTCACATTATGCCTCGGTGACCAAGAATTGCACATAATGGATGCATCTTCCAATATACGACTCTGCAAAATGAAAAAAATGCCATTTCTCATCGGAATCAAGATTATATCACACATTGTTTACAAAGTGTGAAGAATATATCATAAATCAGTTTTTTTTTTTTTTAAATTTTAGATAATGTTAAATATGTTTCTCTCTTTTCACATAGAAATGGCAGCGCATACGAGACAAAAATTTAAACTATAACTTAAAGTATAACTTAAAGTGAAAAACAAAAAGTAGGTTAAACTTCCAAGCCGATTCCCCGAATACGTTTAAATAAATGTTATCTGTTAAATTTTGCTATAAATTTTCCTATCGTTTTATGATGATTTTACAGTTATCTTGATCAAACGATATATTTAATATTAATATAATATACACAGTTTCTTTAAAATTATTGCATAAAAGATTAATTCTTATTTATATTTTTTATATTTGATTTAAATATTACATATATATATATATATTTTTTTTTTAAACTCAGTCTTGTTTCGTCTTGAAGCTGAAACTCTAATGCTCTCTGTGTGTCTCACTTTACAATAAATTATAAACATCATAACATATTATTGCCATATTTGCGAGAAATATTGTATTATACGCGATATAACATGCGCGAGAACGAAATTAACGTCGGATTATCGCGTTATCGAAAATATGTATATTCTCTCTCTTAGCAGATCTGTGTTCGACAAGAGATGTCCAGTTCCAACGGTAACAGATCTCAATACATATGGCTAATAAACGAAGTCGAGAAATATTTTCAACCGAGTGGAAATCGAACATACGCCATTTAACTGTCAACGGCACTTAATATTTATCTGATCTGCATAGTTTATTTTTGTGCCGATCACCGCGCAGGACACGCACGCGACAATTGCATACGATTCTCCATACGTACACGTATGTACGATATATAATATATAAATATATATATATACTATACATTTATATTATATTTAAAGCGAAGCCGAAAGAGAGATTGACAGAATCAGGGCATACCGGCGTCGCGACGCCGTCGCAAATTAAATGAGTCATTTTAGGATTCGCGCGCAGAACTAGGTAATTCAATATCGTCCTTATTAAAGCGTCGGCCAATTCTGCGCGCCCGCGCGTTTCTCGATGACAATGATTATGTCATTACTGGGCACCGAGACTAATATGAATACATCACTCTTCCGAAGCGACATATTTTATTAACGTGTCATATGTCTCTCGACGTATGTGTGTATGTGTATGCGAGGCGATACTTAAGTTCGACGTATACGCACGATATATCATCGAGTTTCGATTGCAGATATACATGCCGCTTAACGTGCATTTGACATGATTTTTCAGTCATTTGTCATCTTTCGTCTCGGCGGATATCGATGCAGTTTCGTCGAGCGATTGTCAAATATTCATCGGGACAAACAAGCATCGGGAAATATTTAATAGATGAAAACCTTTATTTTTAGAATTATATTTTAAATAAGATTATTTAACAGAGTATCTTAACTCGAGTTATCAAAATTTGCAATTGAAATTTTAATCATTGCGAAAAGTATAAAAAATATATGGTGAATATCAATGTCGCATTTTTATACGATCGTCAAATGCTCATTAAGGATCTTATCCTGTCGCCCAATCCAGTGTCAACCGTTTGACACTTGAACAAGATATCCTACGATTTGATGTTGTTCATTTGACATTTTGGACAAGATATCTCGAAGATCTGATAAGAATATTCGGCTGACACTTAGGCTATGATTACCGTTATCATTATCAACGCGATGTAATTTAGCTTTCATATTTCTCGATAACCGATAACCATGAATAGAAATATGGAAATTTATATGTGTCTCGCGCGTTAAGAAGAAAAATGATACAAGAAATAGAAGAAATATTTTCTTTTTCTAAATACTATTAATATTTGTCTTGTATGTCAAAATATATTTTGAAATTTGACGTCTCGCAAACGTTACAAAAGTATTTAATAAACTATGTAGTATATTGTATTCGAGATGTTATATATCATTACGTGTAAAGTTTTAATCAAAATTCAAAAATATATAAGCAATAATATTTATTATATAAAAGATTGTAGAAAAAAAATATGAACGCCATATAGAATAGATATTTAAAAAAATTTTAAATATATTGCAATAAAAAAGAGCTTTTATCTCATACTTTTATTTCATACATTTACAGTGACGTTTTCGCACTTTTGAAAAATGCAAAAAGGATTGACAACTATCTATTATAGTTCAGCGTATTTGAAGTGTTTAAACATATCTGGCGTTTAGGAAAATATGTATCTCCACCACTTTCTTGCTAAATTTTCTCAACCGCGTAAAAGGGATTAATCCAAAATAGATTATAGATATATTAATGAATCGTGTTACATATCGGTTATAGAAGCCGAATTATCCGAACAAGGATAATACGCTTACGCAATATGTTACAGCGCATTAGACATTGCGAGTTGTATAACGCTCGCTATCTCTTAAATTCTACGCACGCTCGCGTATATGTATGCAAGTTAAAATATGTATCCGCGCACGGATGCATTTGCATACACGCGTGTGCGGCTGGATGTGTGTCGAGACACATGTGTGCGCATCGCGTGGATGTGTTTCTCGGTGCATCGGAGCTACGGACACAAAAGTCCGGCATTGCGTCGCGTATATAAAGCTACACCACGCGTGTAGCGTAGCTTTATGCGTGCGTATTCGTTCTTTGCATGTGTATACGCGATGTGTACCTACATTCATATATACATATGTATTTATATATATTTCGTATATGTGTGCGCGTGTGCCGCGGAAGCGCTTGTGTTACGAGGCGAAACACATTGCGGACTCGCACGAGTAAACAGACGCAGTCGAATCAGTTTGCCCGGCTAATTGATTTTCCTTCACATGACCGACGATGTGCCGTGTGCGTGTGCGCTCGCGCTGCGTGCGCAACGCGATCCGAATATACGCATATATAGAGAGACAGTGCAACGCGCCGTACAAATCCAATCCGAAACTCTCGTTTGATTATCAAGCGAATTCCCGCGACCGATTGTAAATCAACTGCTGTACCATGTGTGCGCCGGTGGATCATACTGATGCTTTGGATTGGATGGTATGGCAGCGAATATATCGGAAATTTAACCCTTTTCGCGTGACGCCGAGATAGACGGATAAAAAAAAAAAAAAAAAAAAATTATTGAACATTGTCTCTCGTAGCGCGCGGGGAAGCGCGAATGCCGAAGTTCTTTTAATGAGACAGAAATCTTCAATTAAATATATCTATCTTTTATGAACTCTTGTAAAATAAGAGAAAAAAGTTTTAAAATCATTAATTTTTGAATTTCACACGCAGTGGTCTCGATGGTTGTAGAAAATAATGCTAATCTCTACGGACAACAAATAATGTTTTTCCTTCGAAAACGCTTGTGTAACTTAGGATATTTCTAAAAATATTTTTCAAGCTAATATTGTTTTAAAAATAAAATTGTGTTATTAATTATAGAAACATGAAAAAAGGTATATGTCATAATAAAATAGATTATACTTTGCTAAATATAAAATTTGAAAAATGAAAAAAGTGCAAAGTTTTGATATAATAATTTTGACAGCTCTCTATAGAGAGTTGGTGTTAAATGCAAAAGCAACAAAAACGTTAAGGAAGCGAAAGATATAAGTTGGCTGTTTAGAACGCTACAAATGAATTCACTGAATAATGCAGAATGGTAGACGGTAACTGTGCGAGGGCAAGTGTCTCCGATTATAACAAAAGTGAGGGGCTCACAGCCCGGCTCATTTGTTATTAACTGGCGCGAAGGAGCGTTGAAGTGCAGAAAGACTTCGAACACGACTTCACACTTTGACTCGTAGCCGTTGGTAACTTTAGATAATTACCGGCGAAACTTTCACGAAGAATCTTACGTACTTTCTAGCAATATTTCTCGGAGAATGTTTTCTCGCGATTCATCATTATCGATAACTTGTGTAAAGTAAATTTATTTTTTTCTTTACGGCATATAGGATAAAAACAAAAAAAAAACGTTCTTTTTAATAGAAAAGAGGCATTGAAATAAAAAAAATATCTTACATTTTGTATAAATAAATTTTTTCTCTTATTTGAAAGAGATATTTGTTTGACATTTTGATATTATTTATCTGTAAATATATACGTTATTAGAAAAAGTACAATTAACTCTAACATTCAGACCATCGTCTTTCCGTTATTCTTATATATATTCTTCTTTCTTATTCTCTATTTTAAAATCTGCACTATATCTATATCTTACTCGATAATAAAATCAATAACAATATAATTTATTCAAGTCATTATCAATTTTTCCGCGGATATTATCGATGTATTAATTTCTCTCAACTCTTGTTTGATCACTCAACATTGTTTTCCCGGAATTAATCGCAGTATGAACGAGGAGATGTAAAATACGTTCGAGTCAAAGAAAAGAAACCGGCGCCGGCGCCGTCGTCGCGCAAAATATGGAACAGATAGGTAACTATGTAGATTCAGCCTGACGCGGCTCATTACGATTTCAGGCGAAAAACACGGGTCTTGAAGCGCGAATCGTCTAAGAGATCGCTAAAGAGAATTTATGAAATTTCCTAATTTAATATTCTATTTCTCTCTTTCTCTTTCCC